GGGGGGCCAGGGCAGCCTTTGTTCTCGCCAGGCCACCTGCGGTGGGAGGGAGAGGTGAAAATCCACAGCACCTGCAGCCTGTTATCTTGCTGCAGCCGCAGCCACACTCCCGGGACCCACGTCCCCACTGACCCCCACCGCAGGCCGGGTCAGCCGAGGATGTTCCCCTCGTTGCAGGGATGAGGGAAGGGTCGCAGCTGTCTCAGCGCCATAGCCTGGCGCAGGAGGACCATGTCCTCCATCTGAGTGGGGTGATCCCCAAGTCTTCCTGCTTTGGGATAAGGCACGACAGTCGTGGCTTGCATGGTCTCGCAGAGGCTTGCCAGCAAGTGCATGGGGCCCACCTCCCCGAGCATCACTGGCTGCATGAGGGACTGGTAACCCGGCTGGTCAACTGGGAGCTCTGAGTACTGATGCTATCTTAAACCAGTCCAACGCTGTGGGACATTGCATGGCCCCATACATCCCCAAAGCCCCTCGTCCAGCCCGGCGAGGCGGTATACTCTTGTAAGGAGTTAGGATATGCCCACGAGGGCTTTGCAAACAGACCCGTGCTAGCTCGTGGCTCAGAGGAGGAGGTCTGCTGGGTAATGCTCCCGGCAGGACTTGCTGCACTGCTCCGTGCTTCGGGCGGGAGCGCGGACCCGTCTGCGAAGGCAGACCCGTGGCCCAGCATGACAACAATGTGGATTTTTGGAAATCCCGTTGATAAGATTCAAACGCAGCTCTCGCTTGGCAGTGGGTCTTGTATTCCTCAAATATAGGGGCTGCTAAAAATCCCATGTTGGGCACATGAGGGACGGGGTAGATGGGACCTAGCTGGGCTTTCACTTTACCCTGGTGGCCGTGAGGTTGCTCCCAGACCATTCGCTGAATGAAGCATGGAGCAGGCAAACACCAAGCACTAAGTTGAAGCATCTTGCTCTGCTGTCACCTGGGTGTTTGCATGCTGGTGACAAACCACGAAAGCATCTGCATCTGCATCTCCTCCTCGAGGCACTCCTGGGCTTTCTCCCATGTGCTTCCCACTGCTGCACGGTGGGGGACAGGAGGCGGCTCTTCAGGATGAGTTTTGCCTTGCCAAGAGGAGCGACTTTGACTGCGGAGGTGGAGCAGCCTCGGGCAAAGCTGTGCCGTGGGTGGCTTCACACACCACCTTGGATTGGGAAACACGTTTCTGTTCCTTGGAAAGGGACCACGTGGCTGGTGGGGTGCCTGGTGGGATGGATGCTGCAGCTCCTCCAGCTGGGCTCATGTGGTGGAAAGGGTGGAAACGTGCTTCCAGACTAGAGGTGCTGGCTAGAGAGCCAGAAACGTGAGGGGGGTGTCCATCACCCACATGCCCCATGTAGTTAGAGGATGCCAGCGCGGCTTTTGGTGGGGAACTGGGGAGAGAGAGGGACAAGCCGAGCGCTGCCAAGCCCAAACGGGCAGCCCACCGCAGCCGAGCTACGGCACAGCCGAAAGAGCCCAGGGCCAAACTCCAGGATGCCAGGACAAATTGCAAGAGTTGTTTGTTTTAACCTAACTACAGTTTATTTCCCTGCTAGTTATTCCTCAGAACAGCTCATGCATTCCCGTTCCAACTCCCGGCTGTAATCAGAGCAGAGACCAAGCTTGGGACATACTCACTGCTGGGAATTGGAGAGTTAGGAAGTCGCAGGCAGCTGCCGGGACAGGGAAATGCTGCTCAGCCTCGGGTAGCGCTCTTGCGATTTAACTCTCATCCTTCCCAGCCCTCGCATCATGCTGCCCAGCTGTGATCATCGTGGGACCCTCTGAGATGGCAAACGAGGGCTCTTTGCATTCTGGTTTCTAGTTTTTCGGGTTGTGGCAGCTGAGGCTTCCAAGCTGTGCTCCCCGACCAGCAGATCAAGAAATACGATGTAGTCTCAGGGAATTGCTTTGCTTTGGGAGCTGCATCTTAAGGAAAACTCTCAAGTCCCTTATTCGCAATCAGCAGAGTTCCCAGGACTAAGGGCATCTGGCATGGAGAGGTTTGGATTCATTTTACTGGAGGCTCTGGAGGCATTCGAACAAGACCCGGGCTGTTTGTTTGCTGGGTTTTTGACCTAAGGAAATTGATTCAGAGCTCTAAAGCCATTCCTACACCTTCGCCTCAGGTGTCTTCTCCAAAGATTTTCTGCTCCCTGGGATCCCAGGTGCCAGCTTCGCTCTGCGCCCTCGCTTGGATCAGGGTGAAGGCAGGCTCGGAGGTGTCCGCCCCCACCCAGGTGCTGGGGCTCTTCGATTTCATCTGACAGACCCACAAAAGCCTTTCTTGTTGTGCCAGGGCCATGATAACTCCTTGGCTTTCTCAGGCACCTTTTTTTTTTTTCTTTTTGGCTACAGGACAAAAAGAGGATCCTCAGGCTGCAGAAAGCAACCCCTCGCAGGGGTCCCAGGGGAAGGCAGGAGATTGCAGCTCTGTCTTCTATTCAGCTGGCCAGTTCTTCTTCGAGTACCTGGTGGTGGTGTCACTGAAGAAGATGCCGGACGGACATTATGAACCCAAGATATCATACCAGTTCCCAAAGGTATCTAGTCCCACGTTTCTGGGCATGGGAGATTTATGAAGTTAGCCGCAAGCCGTGGGGACTTCTGCAGGAGCCGTGAGACTTTTTCAGCTTGCGGAAGACCAGAAGATGGGTCTTCTGAAGTTAAGAGGAAACAGGGAGGTTGCTTCTCCCCCATTCCTAGAGCCAGGGAGAAGGGGAACAGAAAAATACCACAGCACCCTGGAGCTGCACATCCATACCTCAGGACTTTGCCTGCCACAGGCTGGGCTCTGATGGTTTCTCCCTGCTATCCCACCCCAAGAGAAAAAGCCCCTTGGTGCTTCCTGGTCTCATGTTTCCCAAAAGGGAGACCTCATTCCCGGTCCTGGGAGCACCAACAGCAAAATCACATCCCAGAATGGCAGCACATGGGGGAGAGCCCCTGTTTGCGGAGAGGTCCATGGCAGCGGCTCTGGGTGCCTCTGCTTTGCCCCGTTATCCATGGGGTAAAAACACCAGAAATTGGGACTTTTGGGGGTGCTCATCCAGGGCTGTGCAGATGCCTACTGCTTCCGCCTGAGCTGGCGGTGGCTTTGGGCCACCAGATGTGCTCTGGGGTGCAGGGGACGTGCCCAGGGCGCAGGGGAGGCCGCGAGCACCCTCTGCCACCCTGACCTGGGGCATCACTTTGTTCCAGCGCGAGAACTTGCTGAAGGGCCAGAAGGAGGAGGAGGAACGTCTCTTGCAAGCCATCCCCCTCTTCTGCTTCCCCGACGGCAACAACTGGGCCCCCGTCGCCGAGTTCACCAGGTACCTGCCCCGCTGCAGGGGGCTTGGCTCGGCCACGGTTTTCCAGGACAGAGAGCCACCCTCGGGGACCCCTTTCCCCCGGCAGCACCCTGAAACTGGACCCCTTCTCCCCTTGCAGTGAAACCTTTTCTTTCGTCCTGACGAACGTGGACGGCAGCCGAAAGATCGGCTACTGTAGGCGGCTGCTGGTGAGTGTCCTGCCGTTGGTGCCCCCATCCCCGTGTCAGCGGTGGCCGTGTCACCCCATCCTCATGCTGGGAACGCAGTCCCTTCTCCCATGCCCGAAGCACAGTCTGGTGCTGGACGGAGGAAAGCAACGTTGGCAGTGTTTGTGTAGCCCAGGGCTGGCCCGAACACCCAAAATTGGCAGCGTGGGGCCAAGACAGTATAAGAAGGAGCAAGGAAGGAGCTGGGTGCTCTCGGTCATGTCCCCAAAAATTGCTTCTGAGCATCCGATGCCTTTCTCAGTGGGGCATTCATCAGGGAAGGAGATGGCCGAGTCCCGCTCATGGATTTGGCTGACCTGGGGGATGCGAGTCATGGGAGAGGTCTTCTTTGGTGCTAAAGCACGGGCGTAAGGCCACAGGGCTGTGCACCATGGCTCGGCAACTTGCTGGATCCTGCCACGTTTACGTTTCCTGGCAAACCTGCCCGGTTCTGCATCCAGGGCCGAACTTTGGCTGTTTGCATAAGCTGGATGTGTCTGGAAGGTTGAAACGGCAAACAGCAAACGGCCCCAGGATAATCCAGTTGGAAAGGAAAACAACAGACTGGGAAGTCGTCCCACTGGTCCTCGTTTCAGTAGGAGGCAGGATTAGCCTAGGAGATGGTGGAGAGCGGGGCAGGAGTACCAGCAGAAATATCTGTGTCAAGCTGCTACACCGGTCATGCCTGCACAAAGGAACGGGAAACGGGGCCCAAAAATGGTGCTTTGATTGCACTTTGAGTTTCATGTTGAAACACCTATCATGGGCAAGTCAGCTCATTTCCGAGCTGCTGCCAGCAGGCTCAGGAACTTGGACCTGGGGCTGCCTCCAAGGCTGTGACTTGAGAGCCGCTTCCTTTCACGTGGTGCAGCGGGGCCAGCATGCATGCCGCGGAGATGCTAAAACCCTTTTTCCCTTCTTTCCTCTTCCAGCCAGCTGGCCGCGGCACCCGCCTCCCTGAGGTCTTCTGCATCATCAGCTGCCTGGGCTGTTTCGGGCTCTTCTCCAAGGTAAGGACGCGGTGGCTCCGTCCGACTTGGCAGTGGCCCAGGAGCCACAGGGGCTGCTGTACCTGATTCCCACTGTCTGCTGGGGTTTGACAGCCCCTTTTTGCCTCCCCCAGATCCTGGACGAGGTGGAGAAGAGGCGCCAGATCTCCATGGCGGTCATTTACCCCTTCATGCAGGGCCTCCGGGAATCGCCCTTCCCGGCTCCAGGGAAAACCGTCACCATTAAAAGCTTCATCCCCGAGTCAGGCACAGAGGTTGGTGAGGGTTTCAGGGACGGCTCCCGGACTGTTCCGACAAAGGGAGCCAGGGCTGTCTCCGGGAGCACCCTCGGCATCTGCAGCACCCTTGGGTGCTTGCCAGAGCTGTAGGTGGTGGGTTGGGCTGCTGGGAGCCTTTTGACCCAGGGGGCACAGGTGCCACCTCGCACCCAGGATGGGAGGAGGGTGACAAGCAGTGAGGATGAGGATGGGACCCAGCAGTTCTCCCAAGGAGAGACATGTGATGCCGCCCCAGGATTGCTGCTGCATCGGCCTTGAGCTGGAGCCAGAGGTGCATGTCCCTACATCTGGGTTTCTGAAACGGCACCTCGAGCACTTACATTTTGTCCCAGAAGTTCCCAAGATTTCTCCAGTGTGGAGGAGAAAACCCAGCTCCACCATGCAATGTTAGCAACCCTGGCACAGATTTAACCCGCTCCTGTTGGGTCTGGGCCAGCTCTAGCCTCAGCGGCAGCTTCTTCTTTACACCTCGGTGCTCAGTGCAGCCTTGGCACCCACCCCACCCCAGTTTAGTGGCAAGGGCTTGCAATTGCTGCCGTGCAAGCATCTAGCAAGCCTGAAGCCAGGGTGGGAAAGAGGGGGGGACCTGCCCTGGCACCAGGCCCGTGCATGGGTAAATTAGCCTCAATGCTGAGCACGGGGATGCATCCGAGAGCGCAGATCTGCGTCTCGAGCACCTTTTGCCAGCTGGCTATCAAGCTGCAAGCGATTTCTTCATCCAGGAAGGCTTGTGCAAGTGTTTTGCCCATTGCTCAACGCTCTGGCAGCGGGCCAGGCTGCCGGGAACGCGGCAGGGGGTGAAGGAGAAGGAGGGTGCGCAGGGCTGTTCTTCGAAAGAGCTGCACTTTGGGGCACCGGGCAGGAGCAAGGCATGGGAGATAAATGGGAAACTAGGATGAACAGAGGCACTGCGTGCCGGATCCTGCAGGATCCGGGCTGGAAAGGGGCTGTTCAGCCCTGCCGAGCTCCGTGCTGGCAGCGGGGATGATGCCGCTTTGCTGGAAGGGTGTTGGAGCGCATGGAGGAGGGGAAATTCCCACCTCGGGGGAAGTTTGGGAGAGGGGCCAGGGCTGTGTGATGAGCTAGGCAGTCCTGTTAACCCTTTGCTAGCCACTGTCTCGGAGCAGCACCCGGCAGAGACACAGACCAGGCTTAGCAGATTGCCAGCCAGGGCCAAGCTGGCCCACAAACGCCCCTTAGAGAATTAGCCTCTGGGACATCCTTGCTAGCAACGCGGCAAGTCTGCCCTCGCAGAGAGCCTTTGGAGGGAGCTTGTGCGGCTTTTATAGCAGAAGTCTTGCCCTAATCCCTCCTCCCCATTCCCAGGGGACTTTCTCCGCTGTTGCTCTCGGGCAAGCTGCCAGCTGCTCCGATCCTGACATGTCTCTGCTGATCTCTTAGCAGCGACTGATGAGCATTGAAGAAAAGAAGCGTTTTGGTTAAAAATCCAGTGCCCCGCTCGATAAACCCCACAGTGCAGATCCCCGCTAGCTTCCCCAGCATCCTCAGCATTGCACATCCTTGTTTCCAGGGAAATCTCCAGGCAGGACAAGACCAGGTTCATCCCTTGCAGGAGGAACTTGCTAAGGATGCTGCAAACTCTCGGGGCAGGTTGGGGCAGCACCAGGGGTGCTCATGGTCATTAATAGCAATATTGCAGAGCGGGTCCTCAACCGCCACTGTCGCGGGTCCTCAACCGCCACTGTTGCGAGTCCTCGTCCCATGTGGTGGGGCTGGCGGCCAGGTGCATGAGAGGTCCCACTCTCCCTCCCCAGCTCATCAAGCTCACACGGCCCGTGGATGCCCACCTGGAGCACGTGGAGTTCCAGGCGCTGCTGCAGCGGCTCAGCCCCCAGCTCATCCTGCACATCTTCGCCTCCGCCGTCCTGGAGCGGCGGCTCATTTTCCTGGCAGAGGAGCTCAGGTGAGTCCCAACATGTTTAGGAGTGGGGGGGGAAAAAAAGAAAAGAAAAAAAAACCCTCTGAATGGAGCGTGGGATGCACAGGAGGGGATGCTCCTCCTCGGAGCTGTGAAGTCCCCTTGCTTCCTCGTGCAGCGCAGGCGCGACCAGAGCGCAGGCGCTGGGCATCCCCGTGACGGCTCCTTGTCCCGCAGTGTCCTGTCGCAGTGCATCCATGCAGTGGCCGCTCTCCTCTACCCCTTCACGTGGGCTCACACCTACATCCCCGTGGTCCCCGAGTGCCTGCTCGACACCGTCTGCTGCCCCACGCCCTTCATGGTGGGCATCCAGATGCGTCACTTGGAGCGGGGCCTGGATCAGCCGATGGG